TCCGGTGGTCATGTGTTCAGGTGGTCAGATGTTCAGGTGGTCAGGTGTTCAGGTGGTCAGATGTTCAGGTGTTCAGGTGGTCAGATGTTCAGGTGTTCAGGTGGTCAGATGTTCAGATGTTCAGGTGTTTAGATGTTCAGGTGTTCAGATGTTCAGGTGGTCAGGTGGACTGATGATGCTTCAATTTAACCAATGTAACAACAGACCAAACTGTTTGACTCAGCTTATCATTTTCTCCTCAGGTATGTTTGGCACCAACCTCCTGGACTTCAGGCCCCTCCCCAGCCTGGAGCCAGTTGCTGAGAGCAGCCATAGTTACCATGGCAACAGCACAAACAACCCCCACTCCTCATCATCTTCATCGTTGGAGGTGGAAAACATCACTTCCTTTCTACAGAATCATGCCGGTGAGGTGGCGTACCGCAGCCAGTGTACACCGCCCACCACCACCGCTGCTCCTCCAGCATCATCATCTCAGGCCCCTCCCACTCAGCCCCACACCAAGCTCCCTGATTGGCTGGCCTCTGTGACATCACTCATCACTGTTACACCAATGAGCAGCACCACCTCGGCACCTGACACAGGTAACTAGAGAACCGTGAAGCAGGTTAAATAAACTTTCTGCAGAACGTTCTTCTGAAAGTATGTTGGAACTTTATTTTGTAATAATCCAAGAAGAGGAAGGGGCTTTATTTTGAAACTCCAGGTTCAGTCCTCTTCCTGTTTCCTGCTGACCCTATGGGGGCGGCCATGATGGAAACAAAGGAGGGGGGCGGCCATGATGGAAACAGAGGAGGAAGAAAAGCATGCTGGGTAATATAGAAGACCCACAAACTGCTGAGTCACTGGTTGCAGGCAGAGAGACGGAGCACAAAGTAAGCCTCAAACAGTCTCTGTGTGAAAACTATAAGTCGGACCAAAGAACTTGACCCGTGAGCAGCAGGAGGTTCTGGTGGTACCACGAGTAAGACAGAGAGACCGCTGGGTGAAAACGTCTAAAATACCTAAACCATAACGAGGGGACAGCTGTGGACTCTGAGCAGGGGAGGATCTTGTGTCCTGAAGAGTGTCAGATTGAAGTGTTGGTCAGAGGAAAACAACATATCCCAGAATCCTCCAGGGCTGCGGCCTCCATCTGTCTGTGTTTTTGTTGCTGTGTCCTCTGCTGCCCAACTGAAATCCCATTAAAGCGTCTCTGATGATCAGATGAGAGTGTGACGGACTGAGACTCTGAGCTGAATTCTGATCCAGTGTCCTCTGCTGGCACCGTGTGCTGCTGAGGACGGCTGATTTATGAGGATGTTAGTGGACAGCGAGGACTCAGGGTTCAGATTAGAACCAAGTCTAAGGATGGAGGCGGGGTGGGGGGTGTACATGCAGGTTAATGATGCTCCTCACAAAGACGGCAGAACAGTTTCTGTGACTTTAAGATTCTCCTCGTCTCCTGTGTCTCTGGTCCTCTGCTGTCCTTCAGTCTCTGTCTCTGTACTAATGAGAAGTGGAGGTGAATGCTGATGAGCCGAGTCTGTCCTGGGCTCTGATTGGATGTTGGACCAGACTGAGTGGGTGGATAACCTCCAGGAAATATCAGTTTCAGAAAGGTTGGACAGAATCAGGAGACTAAACCTGAAACAGAGACTGTCTTTCAGGTCTTGTCTTTCAGGTGTTCTCTGTCAGGACTTTTCTTTCAGGACTTGTGTCTCCTGTGGTTTCTTGCAGGCACCTGTCAGCAGATCGTGGAGCCTCAGTGTCACATGTTGCCCTACAACCACACGTGGCCGTCCTCATCCGTTGCTGTGGTGAAGAGTTCAGAGGTCGACATGTTGCTAAGGTAACAGCATCCGGAGACTACAGGACCCTTTGGACCCAGATGTTCTGATCTGGAGACCAGGGGCCTCGTGTCCAAAGACCTGCATGGATTTCCACCTGAAACATGGCGTTTGCGTAATTCAAGAACATCGTGTGCACAAATACCTCCAGACGTCTGACACAGTGTTTGTATGGATCCAAGTATCTGCTTAATGAGTCTCTAATAAACGGTTTCGTACCACAGAGCGTTAAGACTCAGGTAATTAAACCTTAACTTAAGAAACAGAACCTTGAGTGTTCTCCACAGATTTAGAACCAACCAGAACACTTTAAAGCAGCAGAACCCGTGTGAGCCGAACATTCCTGTTTTTAAATAAAGGTTGTTGAACTTCAGCTGTTTTGGGTTGTTGTTACAGTGAAGTGAACCTCGGAGCAGTAACTGGGTCGGTGAAGCAGTTCTGGTTCTGAAGCCTGGTGTTTGTGTTCCAGGTTCTTCAGCTACCTGAGCAGACTGTCCTGCTACAGACACATCATGCTGTTCGGCTGCTCGCTGGCTCTGCCCGAGTGTTCCGAGGCCGACGGCACCAACAACAGGTAACAAACAGATAAACAAATAAACATCAGGTAACAAACA